CACTCCCCTGCCCCCCCGCCCACCCCATTTAAAACCAAATCAGGGAAGTACCTTCATGACCCCTAATTAATAAGAAAATGATCGTGCTTTATAGCTATTTTACCTGAAGTGTCCCGATTGAGAAAGCCTTCCATCATGACAAGCATGCTTTGAATCTTATCAATAGCTTACCCCTGCCTTCCCCACCCTAAAACTGGATCGAGTGAGAAATGCCAAAGCAGACTTTTGTTCAAACTGACAAGTGGGTACGTCAGGGCAGGCCACTTGCACCTGTAACAGATCTGATGCACACTAGATGTGCGGCAGCCAGAGGTGGAGGGTGGGAGATGAACTATAGTCTTCAAGAACTTTACATGATGTCACACTCTAACTATAGAACTGCTATTTTATTTGGTACCAAGTCTTGCTGGATGGATAGGAACAAGTTATTATATATTATCCGGTTTTTATGTCTGTGCTATGTACACATCTTTACAATCTCTTCCTGAAAAGTTGTATCAGTTCATAGACTTGGAAAAGAAAGAAAGAAAGAAAAAAAAAAAAAAAAAGCATAATTGTTTAGGTTTTTTTTCTCTTTTTTTGTTGGCACTTGCTTGGCATTTCTGTCAGCATCTGTGATGGCCTTATGTTCTATTGCAGCCTATTAATGCCAGTCTGTTACTGCCAACATTCAATGAAAACCAGTTGGTAGAGTGCAAGAAAGTGCCATGTTGTTTCTCAACTGGAGACCTGTGAAAGACACAGAAATATTAGAGATATTTCAACAAAATGTCAGAACATAAACCAAATGCCAGACTAACTATAGACCTTTAGATATGTAAAGCCTTTAAAACCTGAAGGCTAAAAAAAGTGATACAGATCAGCAGTTTATTTTTTTATTTTTTTTCAATTTTAAACATACTTTTTTTTTTTTTTTTACACTACCGTGTTTGGGGCCGGCACAAATTTTTTTTTTTTAAACAAATTAATTTTCTTATTTAGCAAGGATACCCTATATAGATCAAAAGTGACTCTAAAATATATAACACTGTTCTTTTGAACTTTCTATTAATTAAAAAAAATCTTAAAAAAAAAAAAAAGTGTTGTTAAACTCTTTACAATGCTGATAATAAGAAATGTTTCATAAATACCAGATCAGCATATTAGAATGATATTAGAATGATATTAGAATGATTTCTGAAGGAGACGGTAGTGCTGGGCGGTATACCGGTTCATACGAATTGTTTATTTTTGTTATGATATGAATTTTTAAAATACCGCAATAAGTATGTCACTTAAACAACGTTCGGAACGCAACGCTGTTTAAAAGTGGTCACTTTTCACGGTTGCACTGTGGTGAGGGAACAGCTGTAGGCTATGTGTTACTAAGCGTGAAAGTTCTGAAACTGAAGCTGTAGAACTAATAGAATGTGATGACACAGAAGAACTCATCCACAATATCCACATTGACCGCCACAAATATCCACCGCCCCCTGCCATCAGCTCCCGCGTCTCACACACACGAGCGCGACTTTAGCACTAGATTTAGCAACTTTCAGACCCTTTTAGCGGATTTTTTCCATAGAATATTCATACTGACAAACCTAGCGACTTTTTTGGATAAACCTTAGCTATGGTTCAGTTGGAAGATTTGCCAATTGATAATGAGCGACACCTGCACCACTCACCGGTCTCGAGTCCCACGGAGGAGCTCCGAAAGGATAAAAGGAGGAGTTACGACAGTGAAAGAGGAGCCGCTCTTTAGTGTAGATGCATGTTGATTTTATCAGACGATGTCGCGATTATAAATGAGAGTGACTCCTGGTTAACATGTATTAAAAGGGGTCGTGTTTAGTCACTATTTAGTGTGGTATTTTTTGACAATATTCACTCATCATGACAGTAAAATAGGGCATTCTAAGTCAATATACTGCAGTATTTCCTCTCTTAATCAGTAGAAAATATGGTTAACACCCGGTCATGCATGAAAAAAAAATACCGTCATGTACCGTGAAACCGGTATAATTTTGAAAAAATACCGTGATATCAATTTTTGGTCATACCACCCAGCACTAGGAGACAGGACACTGAAGACTGGAATAATGGCTGATGAAAATTCTGCTTTGCCATAAATTACATTTAAAAATATAATGAAACCAAATTTGTAAAAAAAAAAATAATAATAATGTTTTTACTGTATTTTCAATTAAATAAATGCAGCCTTGGTGAGAAAGAGACAACTTTTCCTACCAACCCCAAACTATATGTATACCATTTTAAAGGATACTGCCACTGTGTAAATAAGAGGCAAACAGTGCAAAAATTTCATAAGCCCTGAGAGGTCTATAGGGTCTATAGCTTACCTAAGACAGTCTAAGCAGACAAAAGAGACACTAATGTTACCTAACATCTTACCACTGAACCTCCATTTTGAACAAGCTTTGGGAACTTGTTATAACAGGTTAGCTCGCACGATTACTATGGCAGAACTCTACTCAGCCTGACAAAAGCTCTATTCTGAGGGGATTAGCCCTGTATGGTAAGGTGAAGCAATTTAAAAATTGTCTTATTTTAATCCTGTACAAGTGTCAGTAATATTTTCCTGACTTTATAATTTTCACATGCAGATAAATTTTAATGCACCATTTACAATTTCTTTAAAAATCAACATGGTAATAAAATCATGTAAAATCATGCAAATCAACATAAAAAGCCTGTAGATCTACTCTGTGACCACATCCAGTCTTAAGGTGGATAACTGCCACCATTCGTCAAGGATAAAACCCCATTCAGCTAAGGGGTGGCTTTAAAGCCTGCAATAATGGTTCTTTGCATTTTCTGGCTCTGTGTTTGGGAGTTGTCTGTCAGTCAGTCAAGTTGGGGAAGAAGAAAAAAAACGGTCACAAGACTTTGGCAGTAAAATGAAAGGGTAAAAGTCCACTTGCTTACCCTGAAAATAGTGAAGCTACAAGCTGCTAGATGAATATCACTCGAAGGCAGTCTCTTGGCTCTTTCTTACACAGCGGGCAACTTTTCTTTTGAATTCACCATGTCTGTCTTCCCTCCACTCTTTCTGAAATATTAAACAGATAAAAAAAATTAATACACATGTAAAAATAAAGGTGAAATGTAACTTCTCATTTATGAGGAAAGGTATGGTGAAAAGTACAGCATCACATTCAGCTAAAGTGCACACGATGGAACATGAAGCAAATTATTTATTAAATATCTACTGATAAACATCTATAGTCAGTCAAGTTCAGTAGGTTCAACAAGTTAGCATTAGACTTACTGCTGCATCAACATTGGCAGGGGAATCTCCATTGGGGTCAGCAAGCATTGAGATGACGCTAATCATGATGGTCTCTACGGTGTGAATGGGGAGCCAGCGCTCTTCTGGTTTTTCATAGCCGTATTTATCCTCCCCCGGCTCGTGCAATATCGAAATACAAACATCACCATTTTTGTCAACTGCAAACAATACAGAGAGAAGACATGAGATTTGATGGCAGTTATTACAGAGCCTTACAATTAACCACTTTTACTGTTGCATTTAATTTAATAGACCACTGAAAATCATAAATATGGTGGCTGATAGCATTAAATTACCACCAATAAATGGCTAACAATAACACACAAGTTGCCGGGAATGTGCATAATTTTAAAGGTTTACGCCATAATTTTATGAGGCTGAATTCACAATGTTAGGTGTTGGTGTAAGTCCAAGCGAACTGCATTATCAATTAGCAAAAAAATTAGTGAGTGCAGCTTAAAGAATAATGGATGTTTAAATTCAGTGGAAATCTGCAAACAAAACAAAACAAAAAAGCTTCAGCTGAAAGTCTTTTTTTTTTTTTTTTT